CCTCGCGTTTGTTTTTCCGCTAGATTAAAATTTTATTATAATCCCGACCCATAAAGTCTCTTCTCTGCTTGGTTGCATATTTAACGGTAAATAGAACGGTTTCCCGAAGTGCAATAATTTTTAAGCGCGTTAAGGACATGCACGTGTAACACGGTTCCCCCTGCGATGCTCGAAGTTTAATGTTTTTACCGAGATCAGATAAATTTAATATCATTCTGGCTTCCTGTAGTATTTTATCCTGTGACAGTGGCAATATTCGTAGAAACAATATCGATGCTTTTATTTCGTACTTTATGGTAGAATAAATATATAAATAAAAAAGCTGTATCTAGATTTCGTTTTCACGATGCAAACCTGAAAAACAACATTCCTCTTAAATAAATTTCAACTTTCATTAATAAAAGAAGTGTATTTAAATTTCTTTGTCTCGATATTCATCACGTAAAATGAATAATTTAAATCCTTATGTCTTTACCTATTTATATTTTTACGTTGCTGCGCCGTGCAGGCATAAAAGAATCTTTAAATTTAAATTATAAAAGCTTCGCCAGTATAAAAGCTTTCATACCAAAATTTCTATCGGAATTTTCAAACGAATAATTCAGCACCTATCAAAATAAATTTCTTTTTCTCCATATTCATCGCATGAAATGAACAATTTAAATCCTTATGTATTATTCTATTTTTATTTTCACGTTACTGCGCCTTATCTTTCACATCCACAGTGTGTATAAACAGTATTCTCTACCAATGACAAATACTTTTCAAACTGAAATAAATATTTTTGAAATAACCAACAGCTTTCCTCTATGTAATTTTTATTACAATACATTTTTGAATAACAACGTTTCATATTTCTTTTCTAATGTTTAATCTATTAATTAAAGTGTGATAACCAATATTCTCTGCCAATAATAAATACTTTTCAAACTAAAATAAATATTTTTGAAGTAACCAACAGCTTTCCACTAGTTTCTGTTATAACACATTTTTGAATAATAATGTTTCATATTTCTTTTCTAACACCTAATCTATTAATTAAAGTAAATGTTAGTGAGTGTTTTACTTTCACTGTAGGTTTCCGCAGTTTTCGTGTATTTAACACAAGCACGTTCCATGGAGGGGATCAGAAATGACGTTGAACCTACCCTTCGTAGCGTAGGGCAAAGCCCTGGTTGGTCACGATCGACAGACATATCAATCAATCACGTTCCTCCCTTTTTTATCTTTTATCACGAGCAAACAAGCTGCCGCCTTAGTTGTCATCTTGTCACTTCGGTATTAATTCGTTGAATGACGAAGTTGTTTTCCTTGTCGTGATAAATCCACCTAAGCCATGCTTTCCGCTCTGTTCTTATTCTTTATAATAAAATTCACACTTAAGTGAGAATTTTCAATCAGCCGGTAATAACAATGATCTCAGCTTAAATATTTTGCTTTCGTAAATAAACGAATCGAAATAAGTCTATCTGTCGAACTATTAAAACCTCGTCATTTATTTCGTGAAGTAAGAAAAATTCAGATTCTCGCGTTACTTGTTGCACCAAACGCAAAACTTGCTTCACGTATGAAACGTTATTACTTTGATGAACGATGGAAATTCGTTTCACGGTGAATTTATATACACTTTTATGCTGCTCCCTGCTATAAAAGTTTTTTTCCTGTATCACGTGTAATAAAAATTTTATGGAACAAAGGAAATTTTACTTGGTTTTTTGAAGGTTTCACATTTGTACCGTAACATATCTCACGTGAAGTTTGATTCTTTACAGTTTTACAACATATTTTTAATAATAATGCTTTCAAAATCATTTCAATGTTACCTTAGTTTTGTTTAATCTATATGATTAATTAATATTATAATTAATTGAAGGATAGTCAAATTTTATAGATTTATATTTTACAAGATTACTATAGCTAATGATAGAATGACGAATAGAGGAACAAAGGATTACACAATCCAGTTGTCTTAATTTTTCAACATAACACGAATGTTGCCAAAATTCATGTAATTTTCAAATATAACCTTCCTTGTATATACACGTAGCCCATTAACACGTTAAGAGCCATATCAGTTACTGATGGCCGACGTTTCTGAATGACTTGAAAACAATCGTAACATACAAGATCACTGATGTCGAATGGAAATGTTTAATAACGTAATTAAGCTGATAACAGTGCACTGCAATGATAGTAACGCCAAATAATCAATAATTGTTCCTGCTTGTCTTTGCTACAGAAGAATAACTCTACAGAAAAACCATCAACATTTTCGTGGCGCTTAACGCGTTAAGCGATACAACGCTCACAAACGATGCAAAATTATATGGAAACATATAAAAGCCTGGTGCACCACCTTTTTCATCGTCGAAATTCGTAACTTTGGGAGCGCATTGTTTTATCCCGCGGAAAAAGAATCATCATCTGTTTCGTGAACGCCCTGTGTGCATAATCATGAGAAATTTACGATCGTGTTTCCTTCTGTAGTGCTTATAAAAAAACGAAATTCACAAGCTGAGAAAAAAATAGACTTGAAAGATCTTTCTACGCTCAAAATTATTTTATTATGTGTGAAAAGGATGTCAGATTAATCACCACAAATAAAAATATTGAAGCAAATTAAGTAAACTTAAATGATAAATAGAAACATTTATAGCATTTAAAATAAATAATATAAATTTACTATTAATTTAAATTCAGCACGATGAACTTATATACAAAAAAATATTGGAATTTCAGCAAATTTAAATAGTAAATAATACAAATGAAACCATTTGTGGCATTTAAAATTAAATTTAGTATTTATAATATAAATTTGGAAGTACCATGTATTATTTATTGTTATTAAGTATTTACTGTTAATCTTTTTACGAATTTTACTTTTATACACGGCTCTACGATCGTTTGAAGATTTATTATCAAAATAATATCAGACCTTCGATTACCTTATCCGACGAACTTAAGCGGAAAGCATTTTTTGAATTGTAAACGCGGCTAGAACGATTCGTTGAAAAACGATCTATGGTAAGGCGATCGTTACCTTCAACCTGATCTTACTCGGCATCATTGTCAGGATTTTCCTTAGTACGATTCGTCGATTCGCACTTACCTCCAGCTGTTTGAGTTCCTCTTTAAGCGTCGCGTACCTCGGAAACTGTATGCGAAAGTGACCCTTCGCAATTTCATTCTCGGCGTTGCCACAAAACCCTTGAAAACGTACCGATTTGCATACGGGATCGTTAATATTGCCGATACATCGAAATTCTATTGAGTTCCCTCAGGAAACTCAGCTTCCATGAATGATACATAAATAGAAACATTCCCGACTTATTCAATTCTAATTGGCCAAAATGAAGTGTTGCAAACAATCAAAATTACTTATAAATTAAAATGTTATCTTCTTTTTAAGGAGAATTCGCAAGTACTGTAACACTCAATTGAATTTCAGTAAACAATTCGAGTTGTTAAACATGAAAAATGTTGAATAATTAAGACAAAGTAAATTATAATTAGGAAAGACATTAAAAAAGCAATGCAAATCAAAATCGAAAATAATATTTCGATATCAAGACTTCAACGATGAACACAAAAATTTCCCGAAAACCTTGAATAATAAATCACTGGTCCGCGAGAGTTTGTACCAATTTGTTAACAACAATCCCGGCGCCTTCGTTAAAACACTTTTCCACACGCAATCATTAACAGTAATCAAACCAATCAACTCCGTTCGTACAACGATTGCCCGAGTTAGAACATTTTTTTCCCTGTGTTCCCTTTATTATGCAGCAGGCTGCGGATCGTTATGCAAATTCGCGTTCATAAGGGCCGAGCGATGCAAACCGGAATGAAATGTACGCCCGCCGGCCAAATAAACGCGGCGGCCACGTGAAAAAGGAATATTAAATCCCCGTTGAACTTTCCGAAAATTTTTACATCCCTTTTTACTTCTCCGCGTTTCCTCGGAATGCATCAAAAACCAGGATCTCGTCGGGATTTATGTAAATTTCGAGGGCCTCATCAGGGATTTGCGCCATCGAACGTTGTCTCGGCCGCCAGAGCGTGTCGAGACGGAAAACCTGGCTGAAAAGACGCGGAATGTAGGTCATTACCCACTCATTTTACGAGGAGGGAATGAAGGTTACAGTCGGAGCTCGCGAAAGCTAGATACTCTCGCTTGCTGGAGATTTAGGGTATAATTATATAGAAAATATGATGTATTTTGTAGATATTCTGTGTCATAATCGAATTATATAGAAAAATCGATTTGACTTTTGGTCCTTGGATATTAGTTCTGATAAATAGTATCGAGATCAACGTTTTGAACAATTTATAGATATATACAAAAATATTAGATATTCTTTTATTCTGATTGTAAGTTTTGATTATATTACATAATTTTTCTGAGCAAATTTATTAAAAGAAAATATTTCATGCTAAATTTTCTTACATTATTATTATTGATAAAATGATTAAAAGAATGTGCAAAAATGTCAGTCTTGAAGCAATACTATTTTAATATATCTGTTGCACTTGCTTCTTGTAATTTAATTGTTGAAGGCCTCCCGGTTTTCCAACGAAAATTTTAAACTCAGACATTTCAAAGATCTGTTGCATTTGCATTTATAATATGTTAATTGAAAATATCCCAGTGTCCTAACGAAAATATCAAACTCAGAAATTTAAAAAATCCTTTGGGTTTCATGATACATTATTTGAAGATTTCCCAGTTTCCTAACGAAAACCTCAAACTCATAAGATTCAAAAATCTGTCGCATTTGCATTTTATATTATAATATAAAATTTCCCAGTTTTCCAGCGAAAATCTCGAACTCATAAAGTTCAAAAGTATCTCTTTTAAATCGCCGCACAAGACGTACGCAAGTACTTCACTGTTTTCTACATAATTGTCCCATTGAAAATTGATTTCTGCGTGGAAGTGAATAAAAAAGGTCATTCGATGCGTATGCTGCACAATAGCGCAATTTCATTTTATTTTCCTGAATACTTTCTTCGAATAATAGTTTTTTCGCTATTCATGAAAGTTCCGACTCCGTTCACAACGGAGCTTTCATCGCGCGCGCGCGTTCATTCGCGCTCACGGGGGAGCGTTACGCAAAATTCAAGTTCCGTGAACGTTACTCGTCCGACGAGGAGCGATAAGTACAAAGTACGGATTCACCTTCCAGTGCATACTGACGGTAACTTTGTATCACCTTCTCGAGCCGCATTTAAAACGCTTCAAATGATAATTCGGAATAACCGCTGGTCCGGGTTGACGCATTGTCCCGCGTCGGGTCGATCGCGTAGAAAATTCAACAAAGCGCCGTTTTGGATTGCATTCATTATGTATGAACTGTAAAAATATTGTACGTCGTGGAATAAGAGGGAAAGAAACTGAAATGAAAATTATACTGCTCATCGTTTCAATCCGACGTGCGAGGTGAATTTTAAATTCTTCATTTCGTCGTTGGGAAACAAGTTATATCAGCTAAAAAGCAAACGAACTTTGTTGCGTGCACTTCTTTCGGACGAAAATTCACGTGACCAAATTTTTACTCTGCGAGGTTCTTCATAGAGGGTTGTATTTTGTATTCCAGCTTTTACGTGGCGAAGAAACATTTGCTTTCAACGTTCCAAGCCGTTTCTTTTATTGCTGTATAAAGAAAGATGTTTGAATCTGAAATTAGAGTCAACGTACATTTTTGTGATATATTCTTGTCACTCGTATGAAGATTTGGAGAAATAGTTTCAACGTACAATTGTTTTACAGTTCTTACAAAGAAATTTAGAAACTTTTGAAATTAGCACTTAGTTCTGAGATTAGATGTATAAAGGGATAACCTAATTAGACGAGCAATTAGATTTAATCTGAATTTACGATATACAATGAATTAGCAATAATCTTTCTTTTTCAAGATACAGGACGATTGAATCTAGTAGCCCGCCTAAATTCGATTTCCCCTGTTACAATAATATAATTTGAAATTGCATTTTGGATTCACTTACATTCCATATCGGTTCCACGGGAAATCAAGAAAGTACCATTACATTTATTGCATCTTATTCACCTGTTAGGAACAAATGCGAACAAACAATCTCAAGGCTTTATTCCCCAAAAACATGATCGATATTTCCAAAATTTCTTTCATATTGAAACAGGCCAAACAGTAATGCATCGCGAGTGCAGTGTAACGTTTTGCTTTACAATTCGCAATAAACGTAATGTACCAAAATGAAGGAGCAAAAGTTGCAATCTTTTGAAGTAGCAGATGACGTTTTCGAAATTTGTCTGTTCAAATTTCAAATTCAACGTGGAACAGACCAAGTGTTAACGCTCGTAGACAGCAAAGTGATTATGCACTGCAGAGTCCGCGGCATAAAACAATGTCCCGCAGCGCACCATCCATGCGGAGATTTATTACATTCCAGTTTCTGCTCAGCGATGACGCGCATAATTCCGTCAATGGTTCACATTGAAGCTACATGTTTTTGCGATTGTAACACGTACTCTTTGGTATAATTGCACAGAGTCAGAGGAGTTCTCTAATTACGACAATCTAAACCGTGACGCTAGAACGGAAGCCCGATAGAAAATACCTGGACGCGTCGACGAAGTAAACCGTGTTCACATAGAAAAATAAATTTCGCCGTCGACGCGACGAAAGGAACACATGCGTTACAAAAATAAAACGCTGTCGCGGTTCGTACGGTAAACTGTTAATTCGCTCCAGTCAGCGATGGGACCAAATTATAATAAACAATTCAGACGAACGATAGATTAAGACGAACAATTCATTTCCATGTAAACAATATTCTCTATCATTAATGTGGATTTTTTCAACTTTCTCAATTTTGTCTGATGGAAATATTTACCTTGTGTTTCACAAATTTTCATACGTTAGAAGTGTATGATGATCCGCGAATGAATTTTTATAATTAATTACGTTTTCTAATTGAAAGATACAAATTATTGTGGAGAAGTTTGAAAATATTCATGAGTACATACTAATTTCGGTGCATAAAGTACTCATAGAGGATTATTCATGATTTATCTGGTCCCATCACTAAAATCACTCGCATCGTTCGAATTTGCTCGAAATTTCCGATTTTTATTTATACGTTGTTCATATATTTCACACGTTAAAAGGAAGAAAAGTAAATTGAAAAAAATATACGGTTTTGTATATAGCGTGGAAAAATATTAAATTCCATAAATTTCGTTTTGTTTGCGTTTTCCCATGCATGCACATTATTACTCGCCGTGCACGCGAAAAAAAGTGATTATCAACGCTTTATAATTTAACAGAACCACATTAACCAGCTTTCATTATTAAGCGAATTAATTGTGCCGATGGGAGTCTTGTTCAACAATAAAATGTAATTACCAAATATTCGAGAAATAAAGTTACAAACTCCCCGAATGTTTTTGACACTTTAATTATCCGACACGTTATCGAGATTTTCTGGAACCTCACACATTGTATATACCTGATGAAAATATTTAATACAACGCGTTTTCTTTTATAAGTAAAACAGAAACATACCTTAAAATTAGACATTATTTAATGCTTTTAATTTTCAGCTCAGTGATTTATCAACTTCAAACGATATCTAACAAATACAATATTCTTTACACAAAACTCAATTTTAGAATACTAAGAAAAAATTTTCTTTCTTAGCAAAATTATTGTTTGCTCGGCCAACTAATTATAATAAAATTATTTTACATAATACCAAATAAGAAAAATAATTCAGGAGTTCTATAAATATTTAATTGTTCTGGTTTACCTTTATTATATATTACTGGCTATGGCAAGGGAAGTAGATCAATCGTTGGAACCGGAAAGAGATTATATTCGCGTTTACCCGGTCCATTTCATCGGAAAGATTTGAGTGCAATCTGTATTGGAGGTTGTCAGTTGGGACCGATTCTCATCGACACTGCTTAATTGCTTCAAATATAATTCCCCTTTGAAAATCACGCTCTTCCCGATATCCGTGTCGAATCCACCGATCGTCGGAGACACGCGGATCGTTATTATCGCGGGCATTACGTATGTAACCGATAGGATTAATCGGAAATCCGAGCGAATTGAGGCGACCGATGACGTTCTGCTGGATCAGTGACAGCGTGTCCCATCGAAACGAAGCCCGCAATATTTCTTTTTTCGCTGCTCCCATATCCGTGTTCAAAGAATGGCTTTAAAGAAAGAGGATTTAAAATTAATTTCAGAAACCATCCGATTTGTGGATTTCTAGCATCGGTTTTATATTATATTTATAATTTAACAATGAACCTGATAAATACAAATGTATATCAATTGTGAAAAGAACATTGAACCTTCTATTATATTTGGTTTATCATAATACTGTTTTTTACAATAATATTGAAATATTAGTTAAACAATAATAAAATTGTATTTTCTGTATCCCGAATCAATAAAGGTAAATTATACATATTTAAGTATTTAAATATATTCTAATAATTTAAAGTTCTTTTTCATTCAAAATGTAAAGAATAATCAAGTAGAATTCGGTGCAGATAATTTTAGATTCTGTTTTCTTTGCGCAGAGATCAATGAATTCAAGTGTACATTCTTCTATAACAATCTTTGCCATTGTTAGAGAATAATATTCGACGTGTCCACTTGCAAATGGCTCACAATAATAAACTTTCCAAGTGCACGTGGACCAGTGAACTCTAGGCTACTCTCATAACTATTGAATGAAAAATTGGCAGGAGGTCTGCTTTCATGTGGATTCATAGCATTCGAGCGCCGGGTATACATATATAATCATTCAACGTACTCGCAACAATAAACCTTCTCACGAGATGAGCCATATTTCACTGCGCCTTCTTTGCTCGCTAAAGATGAACTATCCTCATTTTCATCACTTTCATCAGCAAAACGGGTGTCAATAAATCCTTCAATAACCATCTTCAAGTATGAGATAGAAAATTTATGATGCACACATGCACTTGGCTGACTCGACAGAATACGGATGGTGTAATCGATAAGGAGTTATTCTATAAGAACGGACAAATAAAAAATGTAGAATAAATTTTTCTCATTTGAAATCTCATTTTCCAAGAAATGGAACACGTTCATCTCTAATTTTCTAAAAAAAACTTCACAAATATACAACTGTCGTTCCACGTTTCTTTAGCATATTTTCATAAGGAATAACTTCTCGCCAATTATACCATCTCTGTTCATTCTATATAATTTCCAATTTCAAACTTTTGTTTCTAAGATTGAAATTGGAATTCGAAAATAATTTCTTCCCAAACAATCGATTTCTCCAATTTTCTGTCGTGTATTTCTTTAATTCCAGTCATTTTCACAATTTTCAATCTAAATTGTCTCAACAGAGGAAACCTCAATAAAAAAGTGTTATTCTTTACTTTTGATTAATTTTACCAAACAGAATTACTCGATTGACAATTAGAAAACTTCAAAACGGTCTACACATTTACAGAAAGCCTTATAAAATGTGAACAGAGTAGCAATATGGAGGCCCGCCAGGAAGACGGAAGTCCGTGAAAGGAGCAGCGTGAGCATCGACGCTCGAATAATTTTAATGAAGGTCCTCGGGTTGCATTGGCTTGCATTCGACGGGCCACGTCGGTCGCTGACTTCCAAACGAAAAAAATGAAAACGACTCGCTCCCGAGAAAAATGAAGAAGAAGAAGATGGCTGCTATCCGTGGAATTGTCGCGTGGAGACTATCGACACGCTTTGGGCCAGCTACGACAATAATTAACGTCGCTCGGGAATTGTGTGAATACACCTGTAAGCAACACGGAACACGCACGCTACACGGTAACACCGGTTTACAAAAACGACGGGCACACGACACCACACGCGCACACATTTTGCGACGCACACACGCACACGCAGCATCGGACTCACCACCGTCTTGTTCGTCGTCAATGTATGTACAGTCCTCGATTAATTATTGCTATGGTACATTTATACAGTCTAGACGCGTACAATAGGCCGTACGAATGAAAGTAAAAGCGTTCGCAAGTCCTCTAGAAAAAGTCGAGTCTCTAACGGCGGAGAGAAGCGTTGCCCGGGCTGGCGATCAGCGACAAAATGGCGGCCAAACTCTGTCCCTGGCGCTAAGGGACCGGGATTTCTCGCGCTGAACCTGGTATAGATGGTTCTTTCGTTAGTCGACACTTTAGTTTATGTTTCATTACCGGATTTCAACGTAGTACGCAGTTTTTGGGTGGAAACGTGAGTAAAAAGATGGACTCTTAGTGGAGGATGGGAGGAAATACAAAATGGATATAGTAAACTTTGAAATTCTTGCGTGTTTCTTTAATTTTAACTTAGTCTTGCGGTGAAGGTGTTGAAAATGAAAAGTTTCTTTTGTGCCTGGTAGTCAGAATATAATAGAATATTTTGTATCATTTGATTCTGATTGAAAATTGAATCGAATACTTTTAGGAAATTTGTTGAGAATTGATTGCGTTTCGGATCGAAGGGAATAAATGTGTGCGAATATTGCAGGGGAATTCGTGACAAAGCTGTTGGGGTGTTTTTCAACGCAGGATCTGTAATTAGAGCGTTCGTTAGTAATTTTTACGCGAAGCAACTCTGTGGACCGAAAACAGGTGTGGTGATAATTACATCTTTACGCACAGTTATTTCTAGCCCGCAGCCCGGCACGCTTCTCTCGTTAACAATCTCATTGTTAATAAGTATTGCGTTACAGATAATACAGCTTTGTTGTCTTCTAATTACACCTAATTAGCACTGGTTGCCTTCAACCTATGATTATGGTTGACAACGTATTTACAAAGTCAACGCGTGTTCGGAAACCCCGTACGCTGATTTGCCGCCAGTCACGTGACGTCGCCATCTTACAAATCACCGCGGATCTCATTACTGATCGTTTTCCTTGTTACAAAAGCTTCCGTCGTTTTACAAAAAAATATTGCTTGCCTTGAACAATTTGATTTACAATCACAACCGATCAATCGGTCTTTACGGATTGATCGTAACTGTCCTAGCGATTTCGATAATGTTCCCCTCATTCAGAAATAAAACATACACCAAATAAATTATTTCTCGAAGAGCGCTGAGACACGAAATTCAAGAATTAACAAATCAACATTTATAACAATAGACTGCGAACGTGCATAAAAATTCACGAAATAATAATTACACAAAACATTCATTTTTCTTATCAAATACCTCGTAACATCGAACACAAGCAAGAAACTTCCTTAGGTCTAACGAAAATTGTATTTTTATACATTTTCAACATTTTATTTATAATATAAATGTATAAAGATCCGCAGTCTAGTTAACAGAAACGTAGAATCGTATTTTCGAGGTTCAGCTGAATAAAATATACCAAAACATCGAAACAGCAATTGAACACGTTTATACAAGCATTTCGGTAAAAACATATACGTCACGGTCGTATGTGGATGCAATGTAGTTGCAACGTGCGCGTAATTGCCCGAAGACGGGCCTGTAATTGAAACCAGAAACATGACTGGCGCGCAAACAGCAGCCAAAGTCTCGCTCGAACTTCCTCTTCCGCGAAGTTCGTCGTTCACGGAGGTGGTACGCGTTTCCGGCACGTGATTCCCTGTCGAAATTTGCAATTTCGCGCGTGCCCACGAAAGACATAGATGTGTGTATGTAGTTTATCGTTTTCTCCCCCCGTTTCCGGTTGCCGACAGCCGCCGTGTCGTCGGTCGTCACACCGAGCCTCGATATATAATTGTTAATTCATTCGACCAACGAATTTCGTTTACGAGTTTCCCGGTCGTGCGCGGAATCCCTTGAATCGTTTTCGTCGCCCGTCATCGAACGACGACGACGAAATTTGCTTCCTGTTCGCCACGAGTCGTCCAAATACTCGATCGTGAACGTGTCTGCATTCTGTTGCTCGCCGTTTAAACGAAATTTCAACAGTCCTTCCATTTCTGTGAAACGATTCGAGCAAATATTTCACATTGTCAAGCAAACTTTTGGAATAAAGTATCATCAGCGAATTTGTACACTTTACAGCAATCCCATCGCATGAGATAAATGTAAAATAATTAAATTTTAATTTAATTCGTAAACAGATTCTATATTTCAAATATTTTTCCATTCAAAGGACTCTTTAATTAACTTAGCAAATGCTAATCCATTGGAATTTCAATATTTCAAAGTTTTAAAACTTAATTGCTACATGAATCCCTGGAAATTTATTACAAAACTTTTATTCCATTTTTATGTATGTGATCATGAAAAAGAATACCATTTTCATTGTACCAATTAAATCATGGTTTTCCAAATAACAAGCTCAAAAGCTTTTCCCAGGGAACAATTAAATAGGAAAAAAATATGCCCGACAGAATTCAGGAAAACCGAGCACGTACCGGAAAGGATCGTACGGTTCCCAGTAAGAGCGACATAACCGCACATTCATGGCATGCAACAAAAGCTCACGTTCCAACTCTAAAACGGCGTCCGTTCGTCAATCAAAGTCGAAGCATGGGTTTTCCGTGACGCGTTCAATTCGGAAACGATTCGGGATTCCAGCTGGTGTTGTAAAAATGAGTCTTTAGCTAAAGCTGTATCCGCAACTCAAGCTTTAAGAGGTAGAGCTCTTAGAACTCGAACACTGAGCTGTAAAAGCTGAAGTCTTAAATGCTCCAATCTTTACTTCGAAGATTCAAGCCGTTCATTGCTGTATTAACACTACCCGTTAACATAGCAATGGCAGTATAATGTTAACATAGCAACAGTTGATACGGTTCGAGCATGCAGGTTTGAGCGTTGAAGGTTCTTAAGGCTCAGATCGAGCTTTCCAAGATTTAAGGTTAAACTGTAAAGCTTCCAAGATTCAGTCTTTAAGGTTGAACCCTAAAGCTTTGACAACTCAGCCTTTGGGGTTAAACTTTGAAGTTTCAAAGACTCAGCATTAAGGTTAAACCTTGAAGTCTTGAAAACTCAGTCTTTAAGCTTAATTGTTGAAGCTTCGAAGACTCAGCACTAAACTTAAACTTTGAAGCTTCGAAGTCTCAGCATTTAAGCTTAAACCTTGAAGCTTCGAAGTCTCAATAACAAGGCGAAACCTTGAAGTATCGAAGACTCAGCACTAAGGTTAAACCTTACAGTTTCAAAGACTCAGCCTTCAAGCTTAAACCCCAAAGTTTCAAAAACGCAGCCTTCAGTGTTAAACTTTGAAATGCCAAAGACTCGACTTATGTACAACAGTAATTCCAGCGAGTTGCCCGACCGGTAACCGGTCGCTCAAAGAGATCGACCGTAACGAGGGGACTGATTGCGATCCACGGGCAGGAAGTTCCTAGGAAGGGCTTAATTCGAGTCCAGAAATGCATAAAATCAGTCTCAAATACCGTTTGCACTCGTCGTTCACACCGAACGGTCCGCGAAACTCGCCGGCCAAGGCCTATGTTACACTACGGGCTAATTAACGCGTGTCTAATAAATCATCCGAGCGAAACGGCCGATCGAGCATAATCGATTTTATCGCGCGCGGACGGCGCGAACCGTGCGTCCCTCGTTGAACACGAAGCTGACGCGTTCGTTCTGTGCGATGTGTGCGCTTGATCGACACCGAATTTCGCGCGGCATCGCCGCGATATGGCAGACACAGCTCGGATCAATTTCCGGCACCCAACGGTGGGAATATGGAAGTGCTTTTTTCAGATTTTCTTATTTTTGCGGCACTTTCAGGTGCAGGACTTTTAAAAATTTTGAAAATATTAGGGAAAGCATCTTCTTTAAATTTTTTAAATGAGAAAGTAGTTGGATGTTAATGAAATGTTATGACACTCGAAACTGTTCTTTATAACTGAAAATAATGTATTATAAATCAATTTTGAAAATTCAACATTCCTTGTTGTTAATAAATTGTCAATCAGGAATGTCTACGTGCCTCGTTTTACAGAAAATTACCTTAGCTATTTATCATCAAAAATATAATCATAGAACATATGATGAAATATATTCCAATAACGCTTTTATAATCACAGTAATAGAACTCACATTATAATTTATATTTTCTTATCAATTAATCTAACAAGCTACATTATTTAATCCTTGATTTACCAATTAAAATTTCGAAATTACTTGGTTTTCACGATACCTAAGATGTACATAGTGCACGCAGACTTCCATGACTAATAGTAAACCACAGATACCTCGCTATCAGTACCAAGCACGAAGCTTCATAAGTTGAACGATAACAGACGACCAACTCTTCGAAATCAGAGAAACTAATGCAACGTATCCACATAAGAGTAACTCTCGAGAGTAGCACGATATTAAGCCAACAAACAGCGTAACTGAGTTGGAGTATAGAACTAATAACCGAAGAGTGAGCGAACTAACGAACATAATTCATAAGTCCGGAACTTATGTTGCCTAGCACGGATCTAAATTATTAATCAAGACTGTAGATGCAGAAAGTTCCGAATTCAAGCCTTTCATATAGGCTTCACTATAAATTTCTCGGAACTTTCGTTATATCATTAAATAACATTTTTCAAACTACAGAAATAGAAGGCAAATCCTAATTCGACCCGGTATTCCGTTTTTCCGAGCAACCTGTGGAACAAACCGAATTCTATTTGCGCGGCCGTAAAAACAGGGCCCTGATTAAAATTTTTATATCACCGGTTGGCCGCTTAATTAAGCGGCAAATCAAATTTCCCCGTCACGAGGAGCCAATTAAGGAAACCAACGAGCCGATTATTAATTTCACAGACGCGAAGGTGCGGATCGCGTGGCGTTCCGCTAACTCCCTTAATTGAGTGTGTGCAGCTAATTTTTGCACGAGAGGCTGCCCGACGAAAAATAAAAATCAGGGGAGAAAGGGAACGAACGCAGGAAAAGGGGGCAGAATTTCAGGTGTATTCATACGGCGGTGAAAAAGAATTTTCGCCGAACGAGCAACCGCGTAATTGGAGGCCTGTTCCGCCCTTTGATACCGATGAGCTGCTTGATCCTCGACTAAAACACATTTCGCGTCGCTGTGAACGGGAATTAAGTTGATACACGCACACAGAAACGCGCGAGTATAATTCCTCGGCACGGTTCGCGCCCTCCATTTTCTTTTCCAGTCGTTTCTCTAGGCGGTACTCTCTGCGCAACAAAATTTTCTCTCCGTTCAAGTGACTCGCTCGCAAACTTTCCGGCTTGCTTCTTCGTTCGAACCATTCGAAATCTAAGCTCGGGCGGTCATTTTCTAAGGTAATCTCGGTTTGCCGCTACAAAAGATTCCGTAGCTCGCTATCGGGAACGATGTTAAGTAACTATCGCCGCGAGGGAATCTTTTCGCTGCTCATGATCACTGGTCCGTTTTACTTTCTTTGTTTCCATCGTTTATTTTTTTGGATGATTTTGTTGGCGGCGATGGAGTTTGATGAGAATGGTAGTAATTCGGGATTTAATGATTACAATTGATAGTTTAATGCGAGTGTCATTTATAAATAAAGGACTGTAGCTTCTGTTCACGTTTTATCACTGTGGTGTCACAGATTGAGAGTGCAATTTCAATGTGCATGCGCTGGGAGTGACGTGATCAACCATGGGCTTACATGGGCTTTCATATATTGTTGGCTACAGCGATTTAATAAATAAAATTAAGGCTCTATGTCCTGTAGGAACTTTAAATTGCTATTGCCAATAAGACACTACTATGAACCAAATACAACATGATTTTTCAACATTTAACTTCATTCAATTGAAATTAACCATTACGCGCAATGCCTTAATGACTGCAAGAAACACTTACGTCTATCATCTGTGTCATTCATAGAATCTAGTAGCATCTAAAATACAAATGGCAGTAAAAGATAAAAAGGAGTTGGTTTAGGACATAAAGGATTCACAATTACTTCAAATTACATTTCTTTCTTTTAGCCGACGTTTATTAATATTTTTCTTTTCTCACTAACAACCAATCAGAGTATATACTATGTGATCGGTATAGCAGTCAATCTCAAAAACTCTCTCAATCACAATAACCATCAAGACCATTCTCATCAAAACCCATCGAAAGATGTTCGAAATCCTTGCACAATGGAAGCAGCGCGTTATGTAAAAATCATTTCTCAAAACAGCAGACTTTCAAGAGGCTCGTAGCAGTGATCGCGAGTGGTCGAAGACAATGTCAGCGAACAGGTGAAAGGAAAAGCAAGGTAGAGCCGTTCCTCGGCCGCAGATAGTTGGGCGACCGTTCGGTCGACAAGTCGATACCAAATCCTCTCATGGATCTCGAGCAATGGCGTGTTCGGTGCGACTGTTCACGGGGGTTTCTCTCGCTAGACGAACTGCGAGGGCGTTTTCCAGCAGCTCGCGCAACACGGTAGCGCGCTCTTCAGCGTGTCCTTGAACGCCTCGCGGAAGTCTCGGTTGAAGTACGCGTAGATCAGGGGGTTCAGGGCGCTGTTGAAGTAACCTATCCAGAAGAGGACGGACACCACCGTGTCTGGACAGTAGCAGGCTTCGCCGCACAGGGACGTCGTTAGATACCTGGAAAACACCAACAAAGTAATGGATTACCGGCAGAGTCGTAATCAGCTCCTTCGTTTCATAATTGAAGCAGCGGATTAATAATAATTATCGGATAATTGTGTTTTAATTAGGTCACTGGTGGACTTCGCTGCTTCGGAAACGTCGAGGACTTAATGGATCGCTGAGTAGGGAACATTCGTAAGAAGATTCTTTATCTGATAATTTAAATAGTATACTATTCACGTAATCATTAAGCAGTAGAATGATAACTACATAATTGTGTTTTAATTATTATTTATAAAAAGTATCGAAAATACTTATTAACCCTTTGCACTTGAGGGGTGACTCTCAGTCACTATTTAATTTGATATAACAAAATTAGAAAGTGTTGTGTACATAATATTAAGTTTTGTATAATGCATCAATATGTAAAATATTTATATAAAATAGCTCTGTTTCTTAATTAACGTATGTTTTCTCATTAGTTCGTTTCGAATATTGTCGTCTATGTCTCATTGGAAAGTGTCGAATGTTTCTACTGAAAAGCTTCCGAGTGCAAAGGGTTAACTATTGTAAAGTTACAGTTAATAAGCACTGAATAATTATTTATTGGAACAAGATATTGTAATGCGAATATTGAGGCGTTAGGGTCACTGTTCAACATAGATAATTAAAATTCATAATTTGATTAATCGATTGATGTTTATTATTCAAGGAATAACGAAAGCAAATTTGAAGTTTCACGTTACTACAGCTTCAACTTTTCTTATTTACGGGACGCTGCGCCGTCCGCCATCTTGTATAATCCGAACACAAACAGTCGCAGCGTCTGCGAGACGTCCCGCGTGGAAGCGTGTGGCGCAACTTCCACGAATAATTTCGTTTTATGAGCAATTTGACCGTAATACTTTGAGGCGATATCGGCGAGCGTCGTCCGGAAACGTTTACGCTGACTAATATCCATATTTTCGGTCACTGCGCACGAGTTATTTATTTTGGAGGCGACGCCGACGCCACGGAACGTCCTACGGACCAGAAATCCCCCAGCTCCGCGAAGCTAATCGAGCAGCGGTCCTGCCATGATTTGTGGCAGCCGTCGAACGCGTTCGCATATGTTCGCGTCTGCACAATAATGCTCGTCACGCCGAGCATGCCTGCAAATCATTCAAAGTCTCTGTTTGTTCGGTCGTTCGGTTAAATCCAGATCCGCGGAGCATAACCGAAAATTTCGTGATATTGTTGTAAAACGGTTTTGAATCGATTACGGAAACAAATGAATTGATAATATCGGCGGGACGTAATTAGACGCGCCATGGGAGTTAATGGAAATTTACACTTTCATGTGCAAGCTGGGAAATATTGAAAATTAGTTTGTTTTTTTTCAACCGATCAATGTTGACAGGAAATAATTGTAACGAAGCTTGTATAAATTTACATTTTCGCTGAGATATTTGGAAATGGAATTAGAGTGGATTTGTTTTTCTTCGTCGATGGTAATGGTAAGTTAGGAGTAAGTTTAAGTTCTAGGAAAATTGGAACTGAAACATTGAAGAAAATGGAATGAAAGAGATGCATTGATTTTTTGAATATCATTCCGTGCGTCATAAATTTAAATAACGATCTGCGTAACATTGAATCGACTTTTCCTACGTAAACCGCGGTAATGCGTCAATGTATTTAAATAGCGACACAATAAAATGCATTATCCGATGCCTGGGTAGATAAATCTGATGTAAATCACTTGACTGTACTTCTTAGTAAATTATTCATTAACTGCTCATAAAAATGACAGGTTTCAGTTTTCTCGTTTTTCAATTTTTTAATTTTTCAGTTTTCAAAAACACGTTCACGCCGGCGCGTACCGCCGGTGGCTCACACTTCGATATCACATTAGACAGCGTATACCATCAAACATAAATAAAAAGAACTGCCATATAGTTGAAAACTAATTTACTTATTGACAATTTCAATATTTTCTAAGATCTTTAGAATTTCACCGTCAGATAAAAAAAATCATAAATTACAGCGTGGATGTGTTAAATACTGCAATGAACACTTGAAGAAACCGAAAAACAGCTTTCGTTACAATTTTGACAAGGATCACATATCAATCCTATCAAACAAGTAGTTCCAGCGTGAACAAGGTGAAGCTGTTGCCATTCGATTCTTGTAGACCTACATTTGTTGAAAACAAACAAAATAATAAACGCTCGGCGGTTCCAGTGTTAAGAGCCGATGCTTCAGCCTCTGTCAACCGTATTACGCGTGCAATAAGGAGGGGAGTGCCATTTCCTCGGCCGCATTGCTTAGCCAAGCAAATAGTTAGACTGCGAGTCCGCGGGATGCGCTCTCTCCACGGGATGCACTCAGCTTTGCATTAATAAAACATGCGGCTGGCTCAGCTTTCGCGAGTATTCACCGGTTCTGGAAACTTTGGCGTCGATGAAACGAAAGCGTCCCGAACAGCTTGCAGCGCGTTCCCTGATATATCGTGCGCGCCGAATAGACGGCAGTTCCGCTTCTGTTTTTCACGGAAAATCGACGATCCCTTCCTCCTTCGACCCCCACCCCGCTCCCACCGTCAGCCTGGTTACGCCATTCGTTACTGAAAGGCTGCGGAGAACGAGCGGAAAAATCCTGGCCGCGATGGAAAGATTCTAAAGAACGTCCCTTCTTCTTTTTCCTCGGTTTTTTCCCTGTTCGAGTATCGCCGCGCTGCCATCGAATTTCAGCGAACTTGGTTACTCATTTGTTTTAACACGTTCGCGGACGATACAAATTTTAATGAGCCGCAAAAGTAAAGAAAGTGGAAATGCTGTACTTCGAGGGTTGAAGTGCGTAATAATTTGAAAAAAAATTAGGGCTATGTAAAATTACATGCACGATAGTGTGACTTATTTTGAATGTTGCTGCGTTGGTTTTGTATCACAGTGAAAATGAATGCTGTAGTATTGACGTCTGTGAACGCGTTAATGAGGAATGTCGGGGCATTCTTCTCGTGCTAACGAATTTGTGCTTCTTGGGAGTATTTGGATTGTGTTCGGAATGGTTCGGTGGACTTTTTGGAGTTTTGTGGAACTGTGGAAGGACTGATAATAAAGTTTGTAGCGGTATGTAAATTAGCAAGCTGATTGTGTATTTCTTCATTAAAATAGTATACTAATGCGACGAGGTATTATTAAAAATATAGAGCCGCTGCTGTTTTAAAATGCGTTGAAGTCAATTCTGAAAGGAATTTTTGGTTTCGTTTCCGGGTTACCAAGTATTTATCAACTTTTCAAGTCAAATTTGATTTAACACCACCATATTACATCTGTATAATTATTACTTGTTTAAGAATAATACCCAAATCGAGTTACTATAGCTCATTGAATTAAACGATGATTATTTGAAAACATTTCTACAATATAAATAATGTTACTTAATGGGATGACGTTCAACTAGATGAACGTGCAATAGTAATAATAGAACTCAATCAAATGGTTTAATAATATTATATTGTTTCCATTTTGTGTATTTTGCTCTATAAAACGTGCTGCATTCAATGTGTTAAATGCGAGCGTTTCAAATTAAATCTCTACTCTAAGATGAGAAGAATTGATCAGGTACAGGATATATCGCTTGTCCAGCGACTGCTTTGTGCAGCAACAATGAGCGACCCAGGTCATCGAAGATTCTTCTTCTTCTTAATTCATATAACGTCAACGTAAACACACAACATGTCCGCCACAGCGCTTTACCGTTGTTAATTAATGTCTCGTGTCAGAGGAAAGGCAACAGATACAGCAGATATTAATTAACGGAGATAGATTAGCGAGCGAAAATCATAATCTATGTGAAAACAACATTTTGTTTGAAACTACTTAAGCTTCCGAGATATACGATGTTCTCCGCTTACCAAAGGAAGAATGGCAGCCAACAAAGAAGGAACGCGCCCATTATTATTCCAAGCGTCCTCGCTGCTTTGTGTTCGGCCCTCCAACTTTTCGTTTGTTGTCGTATGGAAGTACCTGAGAAACAGAAATTTTCGTTACCGGAAAAATATAAAGGAGTTGGAATATTATTTTTAATTCACAGATTTGTAACGTGTCCAACGAGTTTCCATATGCTATTTGATAAAATATTAATACCTCCATGAAATATTATAAAGTATCCTGTGAATATAGATTTGTGTATATATATTTTTAATGAACTATTATAAATATAAGCATACACTATTAATATTTATACTAATATACAAAAGATCTCGACAGCAAGTTATTATAATAATTGTATCTAGAAATTTCTTATCGTTAAAAGGAATTGTTTAATTGTTCACCTAAATTATAGCATACATTAATTTTGTAAGCAGTAATATTGCTTTAACTATACATAAGATTATTATTATCGTACTGTAATAATAATAATTATTACTCTACTGTTATTTATCAAATTAAACGTGTACATCTGTGTAATAGGAACAAATATTAATTCGTGTTACTTCTCTCGCCATCAATTTTCGAAATGTTATTATTGTATTGTAATAATAATAATTATTATCGTGTTATTATTTATCAAATTATATTCGTGTATTTGTGTAACAGAGACAAATATTAGTTCGCGGTGGTTCTCTCGTAATCAATTTTCGAAACGCAACGAGCAGCTTATTCATCACAAGAGGAAAAGAATGATGTTTAAGCTAGCGCGATTAATCACGTTTTCCCGTTAAATTCAATTCTTTTTATTGTTCCCGGTGAATATCGATAGAAGCGGCGAACGACGAGCCGGGTTATTAATATCGGCGAAACAATAAACGGCACGCGATTGTGCGTTGAACATTGACGAACCGCGGTGGTAATTAATTTCATTTTCCACGGGACACCGAGCAACCCTTGAAGAAATCGAGCACAAGCGATTCGGTTAACACCGAACGTGTCATGCTCGGTTTTAAAATTTCATTTCGAATTCTGGATTTTCTGTTGTTCAGTTAAATCTCTATCGAATTCTTGCGTTAGTTCGTGTGCATAAAAAAAGTAAATGCTTTGAAGTATTAAATATAAGTAGAACAAATGATAGAGTTTTTACACATAATCTTTTACTAATCTAAAGTAAATAACATAAAACATTAGCAGAAATTAAGACAATCGAGTGGTACACTTAAAGTTACAATAGTATTTACATGATGTCTGTAGTAAATATTATTAATAAATATTACTAATATTATTAAGTAAATATTATACTAAATAGAATTATTAGAATTAAATAAATATTGTTTCTACTAAATGTTATTATCTCTGCTAAATAAAACTATGAATGCATAAAAATTAAACAAAACTATTATTTAATTTTTTAAATAAATATTATTTCTACTAAATGCTTTATTCTTTACGTATATAGAACCGAGTGTTTACTTATAAATTTCATAGTAAAAGTTTCTACTTTTTTTATGCATTCTTTTGGGTCAACTTAATGTAAAATATTGATACATTCAATGTGAAACAAATGCGTTCATCGTTGGTTTTCCGCTCGATGTTTTCAGATCTGTTAATTCGGTCGGCAAACGTTCCCGCGCGTTTCCACGTGGCGCGAAAATCGGTGAATATTAATAAAGCTGCATCGTCGGATGATAACGAGGTTTTCTCAAGGTCACCGATGGAATTCCAACGATCGCGTTTGATTGAAATGGTTTTGGAATTTTGTTCACGCGCTTGCCGATTATTTAATGATATTCTGTTCCACGTTTCCGTTGAATTACGCTTGTAATCCGAAAGAGGAAATATTTATGAAATGTTTCTCTCTTTATGATTTTTTCTGTTTTTATACACCTTGCGTGATTTTTATTCAAATTGGAAAATTTAAAATTGTTCCTTTTACCTTGTATTTTTGTAACGATGTTTATCGATAAGTACTGTATGAGTGTAAAATCGGAAATACGGTGATTAATAATTCATTAAAAATAAGCAATGTATCATACAAAATTACCGTGCAAAAATAAATATTTATTCGTTTTGTCGCAAATGTAGGTTTAATGATTCAGTAGGCAAATTAAATAAAATCTTTATTTGTATATTTTACAATAGGGAACCTAAATTAAATTACGATTAATATACTTTCTCGGATGTTTTCTCCAAATCAATTTCTTTCAACAGTTCTGATTCTTCGTACCGAAACATAATTCTTCGAACTTTTTCCGAAATCTCAAGCTTCAATGCTCTTTCTAACGATCTTCGGAATAAACGACACGCACTTTCCGAGCGCTCGGATTACGATTCGCCCCTTGAATTCCTAATTAGAATTCGCGGAGGATGCATTAGCTCCATTAGCCGCAAACCTATTTTTTCTTTTCGACGCTGATCTTTATCACTCCCGAATCCCACATCCTTTCCATTCCCTGTGTCGCCAACAGGTAATCAGTTTTCTACATTCAACCTCCATTTCCCGTGATTCTTCACTTCGGTATTTTGATTTAATTACCATGAGCGATGCACTTAACGAACATTCACGCAAGGCGGACAATAAATGCAATTATGATATGCGAATTCAAATTTTTTTAATAAAACGATCGCTGGTTGGAGAATCCATGAATCGTAAAAAGATGATATTGGAATGCTCTGGAACCGTACGCCCACGAATTAAGCTCATAATTTTGGCTTGATTATTTTCTACCAATATAGGGTGAATGTATTAGAACTTGGACTTTGTTTTCAATGCTTGTATATGGAGGAATGCCAGAGTACAAATCAAAATATTAACAAAATTCGTTATAGTTCTATTGTATTATTAATTATATTTACGTATTTTTTTTATTGGTCATTCTTCATATTAAAGAGATAACATTTTTTCTACAGTTCTGGCTTCTATAGTTAAAAATGAGAAAGATATTTGACCAAATATTTCAATTACAGTAACAACAAAAGGCTACAGTGTAATAATCATTGTATAATGCAAAACTCAAAATTGTAAATCATATATATTTAATATTACACAGATATACAAGGAAGTGACGAAATTTCACTAAAAAAAATCAATAAGCACCATTTCTCAATTTCTACAAGTAAAATTCGCCACAATCTCCTACAAATTCTCTAACATTATTTCTACGCTGTTGTTCTATCAACGAAGTTCTCCAGCGCCACATGTTCCCAATTATTAGATCAATCGAATTCCCAGCATTTCCCAACTTTGAAATCCGTTTCGTCCCTTCACCAACAACAACCAATAAAAGAATCCGCTTGGAACATGTTAACACATTGTCAACCGGCAACTTTGCGCAGAAGCTATCACATGCACCGGTTATTACTACATAATTAAATATGAAAGTGAAACAATCTAAATAAACTTCAATACACTTCATTTATACATGATGAACTGAACTGAAACGTTGGACATATCTCTTATGTAACTTTGAATATTTCGCTTTTGCAATATTTTATACTGTCCCGCGTTTCAAAGACAATGACTGTTACAAGTGCAAACATGAGTTAACTCGTAACCGGCCAACAACGTTTGGGCATGAAAACACGAGTTAACACTAAAACTACCAGACGATTCAAAATAACACCTTCCTGACTTCTCCTTTTCACAGTTATTATAAAGATAACAGATGTTTTCCTGATAAATTATTAAAGAAATTCATCTAGCAATACGCAAACTGAATTGTAACTCAATTAAACTATCAATAGATGCACTCTTGGAGTTTCCATAGAGAAATTTCAAAAATTCAATTTAATTGCTCGATAGTTTTAGTGTTAACTCGTGACCGGTTAACGATGTGTTAAGTACAAAGGAATATTTCTCACGAGAATTTCATCGAAACTCGTCGGACCTCGCTTCGCTACGCCCGCTTATAAGAAACGTCGTTCAAGACGAAGGCTCTCGCGCGGCGTGTCCGTCTAAGAACACGTTGCTTGCCGGCGGAGATAGCAAATTCATTTCGGCGGGACGATATCCAAGCGCTGTTTAGATAATGCGAAGTGCCAGAATAGGAAGGCAGTCGTTGGAGCGAAAGCTGAAGGGTTCGCGTGCCTGAACGCAGTCAGGCAGATTTAGGTTGGCTGGTCGATGCTCACCGGCTTCTCCGTTTTCGTGGCAATCGATGCGCTCGTCTATCAAGATGCAAGAAGCGTCTGCCCTACGGCATGCCCGATTTAAGTGTACACACGCAATTAGCTGCCGGCCTATTGAAGACGCGGACGAGCCACCGATCCACCGAACAACAAACCCCTCTCAATCCACGTGATCCACGGTTTCGGAATTGATTACGTTGACTGAACGTTGCACGGGATAACGTTTCTATATAACGTACTATGAATTTCGAATTGTATACGAAATCTTGATACCTTGGAATTTCGTTGCATCTGAAGTTCGACAGTTGATGGGTAATATTGATAATTATTCGAGTAATGCTAATTGCAGTTGGTATTGGTGTTATAAAAATGTTGACAGTAATCATTGTTGTAGTAATGTCCATTATTATTAGTGTTACGGAATAATAGTAATTATTACAGCGTTGTTAATAGTAATTACTATTGTTATATTATCAGTGATTATTGTTGTTGTTCTCACTGTAATTATTATTATAGTAATATTACTGCAGTAGTCACCATTATCACAATACTTATATATATAACCACATACTTAAAAAATAAAATTTTCTTTGTTTCATTGAATGCGAACATCCACAATTCACAAAAATTCTCCTCACTTCTGTCAACGAGTATATTCAAAAATTCATTACCACGATTAATTGAACTCAATCTACTCCATTAGACAGAACTACAAACTTACGTATCCCTATTCTAACTTCCCAAACAAAATTCCGCAAATAATTCAACGCCATAAAACCGCCATTCTGTCCAAGGATCTTAACGTATATTATATGCAATTTATCACTTCAACTTTTATCCCTCAGTTCCACTTTCCAGCTCTTATCGCCCTTCAAAATTTCACTTATCAGTGTCGCTCGTACCCTCAAATTAATTCGCGTAATTGAGGTCTTCCGACGCGGGATAAAAAAAAGGAAACCCTCGAG